TCCCACTAATGAACTGTACACTCTGAAACTGGCTGCGTTGTTTCTACTCTGATCTATGAGGCAGCTGTGGCACCTACTTTTAAGGAGTTGGGACTGTGATAGCATGGAGGCACTCAGTAGAGTACCTTGCAGTTACTGTGCAAGTGTTAGCTATTATGCTACTAATGGTATTCTCTATACAGAAACATGTGTATCTTGTTGCCTAACTGTCTCAGTCTCTTAAGCCATTTTGTCATCTCTAGCCCTACACTCTAGGGATGAAAAGACTGTGCGATGTTTCTCTGAAATCTCACTGTTGGATGACTCCCAATAGATTTGGTGTCTCCTCCTATTTCCATGCCTTTTAAAATTGCGATTTTAACCTCCGTGTTAGTCAGTTTTTACTCTGAGTCAACTTTCACTACCTCTTTCCTGCTGAATCCCACTCCCTACCTGCAGCTAAATCTGGAACTCATTAAGAGTTGGGTTGAAATAATCTATATATTTTGCCATGGACCATATTAAACCAGTATTATTGAACATCTGTAATTTATGGGTTTGATTCAAGATGACAGTGTCTTGAGGTTCAGCTGCTTGTATAAAGGTGAGAGGTCTACATCTCATTGGTAGGCCTTATTTTTTTACTGTAATTGGGTTATTTGTGGACAGGTTATGGCTTTCTTCTGGATGAAATAAATTGGGTATTATATAATTGCATTTTTTGAGCCTTTCAAAGTCAGAATGTTAAAAATTCCGAAAAGGTGAGGGTATAGCCTACATGAATAAAATTCCAGCATTATCTTGGTACCTCAAATAAAGTTGTATCTCTATGTTTGGGGAAAATTCTGTCCAAAGGGGCTGGAGAAAAAAATGTAGTAGTTAGGATCATGTAGCAGAAGATGTGAGTTTTTTCCTAGCAGCCATGTTGGCCTGCTCACAGTGTCGTGTAATTCCATTTCTTGGGGATCTAAGGCCTCTGGCCTCTGTGAAATCTGCGTTCACATGTACACATCTACCAACTTACACACGTGCACCCCAACTAAAAATAATAAATCTGTTGGAATCAAATTTAAGAGGACCTGACCCATATGAAACAATTTCCTAACTGAACCTACTAAAGTAGCTAACTCATGTAAGAGTCACCACATGCAAATGAAATTAAATCAAGAAAGTCATTTTATAATGTTAATTGAAGACATGCTGGCAGACCTGGTAATTGTTACATGGCCAGTAAGTATTATTGCTAAAATTCTGATAGGGGGGAGTTTTTGTGATAGTCATAATATTTACAATTCTTTTTTTTTTTTTTTTGCTTTATATGAGTACACTGTAGCTGTCTTCAGACACCAGAAGAGGGCATCAGTTTGCATTAGAGATGGTTATGAGCCACCATGTGGTTGCTGGGAATTGAACTCAGGACCTCTGGAAGAACAGCCAGTACTCTTAACCGCTGAGCCATCTCTCCAGCCCCCAATATTTACAACTCTAAACCTTTTTTTTTTTTTTTTTTCGAGACTAGAAAGATGGCTCAGCAATTAAGAGTGCTTACTGCTCTTCAGAGGATACAAAGTCAATTCCTACTTCAGAGAATCCAAGGCCCACTCCTGGCCCCAGCAAGCAGCCATACTCACGTGATACACAGATGTAAATCAAGATAATTCTACTTTGAGACTGTTTTTTAGGTAGTTTTTGTGCTTTGAACTAAGCTGAGGTGAATGTTAGTGCTGTTTGTGGAACACATAAACAACATGGGTTTGTAAACCACAACAGTTCAGGTGTTTGCTTTTGAGAGAGGTCTCCTAGGGTGTCCTGAAACTCCTTTATTAGTTTACCTAGTGCCACAATGCCCAGCATGATGGCACAGTTCTAAACCAAACACCGAAAAAGAATTGATAACTGTTATATAAATTTGTAAGCAAGAAATAGTGTAGCCCACATTGTTTTAAAGATGCATACATTTCAGAAGTGGGATATTCTGCAGATTGCGTATGCCATTATGCCTGTTCACAGGCATGTCTAGGCCATAGTCAACTTTATAAAGACTACCCAACTAGGATTCCGTTGACAGCAACCAACTGTAGATAATCTAGAAAATAATTTATTTAAAGCAAGTGGAACGGATATCAGAGGGGAGCTGAAGAACCAGCCTTCTAAACATTGAGCTCCAAATGGGTTTTATTTTTAGCAAAGATTGCTCAAAGGCCTTCTTTCATTCCGCCATTGGCCTTCATAAACTCTTCTGTTAACCCGTTCCTCTAAGAAATCCTTGGATTATTAAAATAGATGACATTGAGTATAGGGATCTATTGGGTATAGGGATCTATTAAATCATTGATAGTATAGGGATCAATACAGTATATACAGTATAGGGATCATTGAATATAGGGATCTATTCAAACTAAGAGCAAAAAGAGATTGGTAGTTCATTCTAAAAAATCGTAGGGGAGAATGTTGGACAAACAGGAGCAACAGTTAGCCAGCTGATTGTGAACTGCCACAGATAATCCACTGGGCATCCAGAAAGCGAGAAGGGATCCTGGACAGGCTTCCAAGGACGGATCCTGTTCTTTCATTTGGAGGGCTATTTCCTATGCTCATCTCTGCCTAGGTAAAATAACTTCATTATTAATGTTTTTATACTAGCTGGCTGATAGAAGAGAGCTGTGGAAAGTGAAACACAAGCAGGTTTTTGTTTCTAGTGGGTACAAGCCTTTCCCTACTACGGGGTAAAGGGCAGATTGCTGCCTGTTCCTTCCAGTCCTGGTGGTACTGGACCGACACTGTGTCTTTAACTGAACAAGTTGGCTGGTTTGGCCAAGCCCCTATTGACCCCTACACCAGCCTTTTTCTTTTTTGGTTGAGACAGGGTTTCCCTGTGTATCCCTGGCTGTCCTGGAACTCACTCTGTAGACCAGGCTGGCCTCGAACACAGAAATCCACCTGCCTCTGCCTCCCAAGTGCTAGGATTAAAGGCATGCACCACCACCGCCCGGCTTACACCAGCCTTTTTCATCTTGTTTGTTTGAGCTGGGAGGAGTTTGGGTTACACCTTCAGATGTTTATAGCTTTCATTTGTTTTTAGTTCTGAAAGGTGGAATCCAGTCATCTTTAGAACATACAAGGCATCTAGACCCTCTTCTGGCATGTTCTTGACAAAATCCAAAGTAGTGGGGTTGTAGTCCAGCAGTTTATTTTTATAAGTGTGCTTCCGGTTGCAGTTTGTCTCGGTGAATATGCTGTTGTCTTCAGTCTTCCCTGAATTGTCCTCATCCTTGCAGTCTCCCTGGCAGGAGCTCATACACAGCTCTGTACTAGTCTAGTCTGTGCTGATACTACCAAGGTAAGGCCACACTTACCTCCGAACGGCTTACTACTCTCCAAAGGAAGAGGTTTGGTTGGTTTGTTTGTTTCATTTTGTTTTTTTTAGGTTTTTTTTCCACTCTGATTTGCTAGTCTTATAATAAAATTGTTTTTCCACTCCTAGAACCTGTCTAAAATGTTCAAATCTAGCAGGTGACCCATTCATTTTTAATAATTTAAGTAAAATAACAATATAAGCCAAAATTAGTACTTTGGAATGCACATAGTGAACTGTTTGAATGTCACCTTCATTTGGTAACTGTGTTCTGAGAGTGAACATTAACACAAGGAACAGTATTCACCAAGAAACTTCACGGACGCCATGCTTGGGAGAGCTCAGTGGGCACTCTCTTAGCTCTATACAGCCTTCTCTAATTGTGCCTATTAGTAAGCAGTGTAATTAGAGTCCTTCAAGAGCTGCACAGTTTCCTTAAACCTTTAGACACAAGGACAACTAACTCGTCTGTCAGATTCACTGGTTTCTTGCCTGGAAGGACAGTTATACAGAGTGTAAATGTTTGCTAGACTCAGATGCCTAATAGAAAAGTGGGAAATGGGGGAGAGGGGATGCAAACTTGCTGTTCTTGAGGAGCCAAGATTGGTTTCTTCCAGATCAGATGAGTTGGAAAGAAATACTGGGGCCTGATAAATACTGATGTAAGGTCTGACTTATGATTGATTTTGTTTTGTTTTGTTTTTTCGAGACAGGGTTTCTCCGTATAGCCCTGGCTGTCCTGGAACTCACTCTGTAGACCAGGCTGACCTCGAACTCAGAAATCCGCCTGCCTCTGCCTCCCAAGTGCTGGGATTAAAGGCGTGCACCACCACTGCCCAGCTCTATGATTGATTTCTGTATGCCTTTCCAGGATTTGTTCGCACTTCAAGAGTGATACATGTACATAGACATTTCTTGGTCTACTGTGCCCTGTTGATTGATAATAGGAGCCACCAACTATGATCTGGGGGAAAACAAAGGGGAACTACAGATACGATTCATTTACTTTTATTTATTTATTTTTTGAGACTTGATCTTATGCAGCTCAGGTTGGTCTCAAACTTACTCTGTAGCCTAGGAAACATTGGACTTCTGATCTGCCTACCTCCACCTCCCAAATCTGGAATAAACAGGTATGTGCCATTGTGCCTAATTTATACAGTGCTAGGAATCGAACCAAGGCCTTTTTGCATGCTAGGCAGTCTACCTGCTGAACCACGTCTTAGCACCAACTGATAGCTTTGAGTTGACTAATATTTTCGGTGAAGATCAGTAGTGAAGAACTTGCATGATGCCATTAGAAGTAAATCAGGCACTCGGGAAGAAGCAAGAGCTGTGTGCCTGAAGCCCCCTGGGGTGAGAGTGGAAATGTACTGCCACAGACACGCAGAGTGCCGGCTGCTCAGGAGGATCTGAAAATAAGATCTGAACCTACAAGAACAAGGGCTTTGGCTTCACCTTAGATTGTCTTGCAGTGAAATTCTGGGCAGAGGGGCATAAGTAACCCAGTCACCTCTGGGTTACTAAGAGCATGAGTCATTTACATCTGAAGTCAAGTGTGAAAATGATGTGAATAAGGACACCCCGAAGAGAGTTGTTACTGCTCTCCAGTTAGACATTGCTATGACACCCTAAAGCGGCCATTGAGGCAGTACAAAAGCAGCAGTTTGGTCTTTGAGAGATTTATTGAAGTAAGAAACAAGTATCAGCGGGACACGAAACATGCTGGATGCTAGAGCAAAAAGGCACTTTACTGTTTGTAACATCACAACCTCATTTGGTAAGGCACTACAACCCTGTCATATTTTCAGTGAATATATAGTTTTAAAGGCAGCACTGAGTAGCTCTGACATAAGTATGCACAGCACTATACAGTTGAAGACTCACTTTTTCTCTGGTTATGGTGTGTAACTTAATCTCAAAAGAGCTCTTACTAGCATTTTTTTTTTAAAGTGGCAGTATGAAAAAAATCAGTTTTTCTTTTCAGTCTGTGGTTTCCTCCAAAGAAACCTGTATATAAAGATGCTTTTTCTTTTTCCTTGGCAACAATGAACCATGCATAAAATACAAAAATTCCCTCTTAGAAAATAAAACCATCAAAGGACTTCCCACAACAGGTTCGTTCCGAAAGCACCAAGAGTTTGGGATGCCCTAAACCTTCGGTCTTCAAGGTGGTTGCTGATTAGCATCCTCAAGGAAAGCTTCATTAAGTAGCTTCAAGGAGTCAGAACCTGTACCTGTGTTGTCTAAAGTAGACAGGGACCTAGCTTAGGAAGGTGTTGGTCTGGGCAGACTTTGAGTGTCAGCAGTATTTGCTAAAGTCAGTTTTGTGTATTACATGCTCAGAGCTTATGTGTATGTATCTTCACTAGGATGATGTTTGGGTTTTATCTTTTCTGCAGAAATGAAGTTTTGGCTTCTCATTGATTTAATATGTGGGTTGGTTTTGATTACAGCAATCAAATAGGTCCCTCTTTAATAATTATGGCCACAGCAAAGTGTGGGGAAAGTAGTCTACAATATACCCTGATGGTTTCGTCCCTGGGAGAAATTGTTTTGGTTAAAGTATACCATGCTTTTGAAAAGTGCTGTCAAGCCAGGTGGTGGTGGCGCACGCCTTTAATCCCAGCACGTGGGAGGCAGAGGGAGGCAGATTTCTGAGTTCGAGGCCAGCCTGGTCTACAGAGTGAGCTCCAGGACAGGCCGGGCTATACAGAGAAACCCTGTCTCAAAAAACCAAAAAAAATAAAAAAAAATAAAAAAAAAGTGCTGTCAAACTGGAGTTACTAGTCATAGAAGGCCATTAGAACTTCTCTTTCTCTTGGACTATGTCATTTTCATGGCAAACGTAAGTTACATGGTTCTTTAAGATGTAATTCACATCTTCACACGTATGTTTCTTCCAGTTGCATCTTCAACTCATACATTGGGCAGTGAGGCCATGTGTAGTTACAAAGTAAGAAGTCCTGATACGAAACACAGTTCCTTCAAGGTGATAGGATGGTTTTTGTTTTTTTTGTTTTCTTCTTTTTCTTTCAGTGACATTGGGATTCCAGGCTGGCAAAAGTAATCTGGAAGGTATGATTCTGTTCTGGGAAAGTCAGCTAGACACACAAGTCACATTTTTAAGATATCTGAGACATACCTGCTGAGATGAAGTAGAGTACAAGTGCTTTCATTCTGGAATGTACAACAGTATTGTTTTCACCTAAGACTTAGTCTCCAGTGTGAGGTTCATAGACATAATGAAGTTGGTTTTAAATTATAGGCACAGCTTTTTACTTCATTGCAAAACACTAACTTTAAAAAGTCATTGAGAAGCGATTGGATACAGAGCAGCTAATCACAAAAATAGGGGGAAAAAAATCGTCGGAGAGCACTTGAGAAAGAAACCAGAGCCAGGTGCACCTAGTTGATCTTCTCCAGAGACCTGTAGTAATCTGTCAACACTTTCCATGCTTTGGGGGCCATGAAGCCATCTGGGGGATCTTCTCCTTCCCTGGCGAGCTTCCTCATACGAGTTCCTGAGATGAAGTCAAACTCCTCGTGCCTGTGAGTATATCGACAGAGAGGTCAGCAGAGGTAAGTAGCCACTGCTTTAAAGCTCCCTGAAGCTAGGTTACTGATTTTTGGATTTTTTTTTTCTGTAAACAGTCAAATGTTTTAAAATCATCAGTTCTCTCAGTCTTTAGCTCGGAATCTTAGGGAGCAAAGTGGGGATAAAAGCAGGTATTTATGCAATGTTTCTTACACACCAGTTTTTTTATATCTTGTGGCCAGAAATTAGCTTATTGTGTGAACTTGGTATGGGGCAGGAATGTGCCATAAATGCTCACTGAAAATTGTCTCTTCCTATGTCCTTTCACTTAAAATGCTAGGCCCTCACAGAGCATACATAAGGCCTATCTATGGAAAGGAGCAATTGTGTTACTCTATTGGAGTTTCATATATCCTAACCTGGTTTAAAGCTTGATGTAGCCAAAGATGACCTTGTAATTTTGATCACCCTGCTTCTGCCTTCCTTATGTGTTGACTATAGGCATGTGCCATGATGCACAGCTCAAGAACTTTCTGTGGGGTTCCTGGAGATCAAACCTAGTTCTGTGCACATGCTAGGCAAGTATTCTGCTAGTAATCTATACCCATTAGACCAAAGAGAAGTGTTTATGGACCAACAACTACGTGCAGAGGACTCTGCCAACAATGTCAGGGGACACAACATTTGCAAGAACAGGTCTAACTCAAGAGAGTGTCTTTCCAATTGGAAGCGTGTAGACTGGAGACTTTTCCAGAGGGTCAAAGTTTTGCCTCATCATGACAATTGTCATGTCAGTTTTTTTCCCTCCAGAAACCTACCTTGCTGGATCATAAAAGTCCATGGCCTTTTTAATTTTATTGTAGGCAGCCACGCGGAATGGAATGATTTCCACAGAGGTGAGGCCAGGGGCCATACTCAAGACCTTACCCCCATGGGTAGGTTCATATAGGTCTTTCTTTGTCTCAGGATGGGGCATTCCTGCAGGATCCCTACCCACAATGTAGAAATTGGCCCCTGCAATCATCCGGCACCTGCAGTGCCACTGGACCTGGAAAATATCACACAGGGGGACATGATGGTCATGGGCCAAGTCCACAGGTTCCTCTTTACACTGATTCTTTTAATTTTGCTTTTGAACTGATTGAAAGGGGCAGGTCACTTAAAAGTAGGTAGGAAGTCCGAGAGTCTAAGCCTCTAGCACTGTTCAAGCTGGATTGTATTGGATAAGACAGGAGGTTTAAAGTCATGAGCTATAGGAGTCTCTCTTAATAAAGCAAGCAATTAATTACTGTTACAAGGGCTGTGGGAACTACAGATTCTAAGTCATCATCTGACTACCAACAATGAACTCATTTCTGAAGTACCGTATAAGCAATTCCTGGGTCATGGTGAGTCATGTAGAACAATTGGAACTAATAAATTGTTTGCTTAGTTTAGTGGTGTGAATGAGAAAGGTCCCACTTAGTCTTAGACTTTTAAATACTTGGTCCCAAGTTGGTGCTACTGTTCTGGGAGGTTTAGATGGTACAATCTTGCTGACAGAAGTATGTCACTAGGGCTTTGAGTTTAAAAAGCTTCATCTACTTCCAGTTTGCTCTCTGCTTTGATTCATGGTTGTGGTAAATAAAGAATGTTAGCTCTCAGCTTCCTTCTGCCCTCAAGCCTGCCACTCGCTGCCAGGCTTCCCTGCTATGATAGACTTACCACCCTGTAACCGTAAGCCCACATAAACTCAGGTCGCGTTGGCCATGGTGTTTTATCTCATCAACAGAAAGATAACACAGATACTACTTGCTCTATGACTCGGGTGAGCTGTGCTATCCACCTGCCTCAATCACACGCCAACCTCCATATTCTCCAAGCAATGTGTTTATGTTGGGCTTGATGCTTCTAGCATCTTTACAAATACAAACTCGAAAAAGTTAAGCTGGGGTGTGGAAAGTGGAATCTCCTCATATCCTAAAATGTATTTACTCTTCTAATAAGCTTTAGCCGGGGCTCTTAGTCTTTGGCCCAGCTCAGGGAATAGCTCACCTCTGTGGGGCCAGCATATAGCATAGGAGATGGGAAGATGGCAACAATAGTTGACTTGGGATCTAGGACCCCTTCCTCCAGTACAGCTGCATGCTGTTTCATTCTCCAGTCCAGAGGTACATCGTCGTCCTTGGTCCAGCCCCCAAGAGGGTGTAACAGGAGGACTGGGTGCTTGTAACCCCTCTCCAGGAGCCTGCGGCGGGTGTCCTGCATCAGCAGAGCATGACCATTGTGGACAGGATTACGCAACTGGAATGCAAACACGGCATCTAGAAAGGAAGAGCCAAGTTTCAAAGTAAGCAGTATTGCTTGTCCATAAGAACAGATCGGGGGAAGATGAAGTGGAATACTGTTCAGTTCCTTCATTCAGTCTTCTAGCTTTTGATAGTGGGAGAATACTCCTGGGCTGTTAGCTCAGTCGCTTGGACAGGATGGGATGCAGAGGCAGGAAACCACACCGGAGCGAACGTGACTCAGGATTAAAACAGGCGCTGTCTGTACCTTTGCTGAAACCCTGGACTTCAACCTCCACCTGCTCCCTTGTGCCTGCTGCAGGCAACCCTTTATGAGAGCCTGCATGTAGAGCACATGGAAATGCGCATGGAGACTACAGTCTACAGATGAAAAAAAAATCGAACCTTCTCTGTAAATCCCGAAAACTGTGGCACTCAGGAGTCTAGATTTTTTTTTCTAGTTCTAAAATGTAATTAATATATTTCCATTGCAGGAAACTTAGGAAATATATAAAAGCCCCAAATGGACAATGAACATCATTGCTTCTCTCTCTCTCCTTCTCCCCACACCCTCCTCTCTTTTTTTTCTTCAAGACAGGGTTTCTCCATGTAGCCCTGGCTGTCCTGGAACTCACTCTGTAGACCAGGCTGGCCTCGAACTTAGAAATCCACCTGCCTCTACCTCCCAAGTACTGGGATTAAAGGCGTGCGCCACCACTGCCTGGCTACTTCTCTCTTAAAATGTACAGAACAAAATGTGAAGAGATTTCCTTTCTTGTTCCACGCTCCCCCTAACCACACTTCCCCAAGAGGTATCACTGGCAGTCTGGTACTCTGAGAGTCCTTTGTGCTTCTATAGACAGAAGTAGGTTATGTTTTGGGTTTTTTTTTTCCATCTTTTTTGTTTTTCAACATATGTCTGTGCTATATATATTGTTCTGCAAATGCTTTTGCACTTAACGGATATACTTTAGGAATTATTCCACACTTGCATATTTTAAACTGCTGCATAGTGTTCCAGTATGCCAGTGTAGCACAGCTGTGATCCAGACAAACCAACAGATCTTATCACTTGGAGAGATGGCTCCAAGATCAAGAATGGTGTTACTCTTTCGGAGGACCCAAGTTTGATTCCCAGCACCCATGTCAGACAGCTCACAAAATGCCTAGAACTCTGGCTCTAGGGCATCTGACCACACGGACACCTACACACACATGCCCACCATATCTAATTAAAAGTAAGATACTTCTTTTTTTAACATAGTATTTTTCTTGTTTCTTTGGAAGTCTCACATCATACACCCCAGTCACACTCATTTCCTTGTCGTCCTCATGTCCACCATCCTCCTGATCTTTCCCCTCAAAAAATAAAACATTAAAAAAAACCCCAACAAGCAAGTCCAGTTTTTATTACCTGTATATTCTTTGGAACATGGTCAGACTCTTGGTGGCCTGCCCCTAAACTAGAGCTGAGCTGTTCCCCTCCACACCCTGCTGGAAGCCATCAATTGTGGAGAGCTACAGCACAGCATCCCTTAAGAGTTCTCTTCAATGGCTTCCTGTTTAGGCTACTATGTTTTTTTGGGGGGTGGAAGTGAGGATTGGGGTGAGGGTAGAGGTTGTTACAGAATCCTTCCATGTCCCTCTTTGTCAACGGCACATCTGCAGACATCAGTATCTCTGCCAAAGGCCTTCCTTGCTCCTTACAGTCAGCTGGAGCATGGATGGTGGGCTTCCACGAGGTTTCTGGCAGGAGCACCAACCACAAACATGGCGCCTAGCTGGATCAGGACCATGGACCCAGACAAAGCCCTTGGAGTCAACCTGGGACACATACATCACCAGTGCTTCAGGTAGCAAAATGGCCCGTAGATAATCAACATGACTTCAGGCTGCAGCATAGACCGTGGGCACACATTTGGCGTTTGCTGACAACACAGACATCACCATGGCCACACACACACACACACACAAATATATATAAGTTCAGCCAGGCATGGTGGTACATGCCTGTAATCTCAGCATTTGGGAGCAGAAACTGGATCAAGAGTTCAAGGTTACCATTGGCTACATAATGAATTCAATACCAGCCCCTAAATAGGGGAAAAAGAAAAAAGAAGCAAAATTGCTATCCAATTCTTGAAACACTTCTTGATTAGAGTGCTAAGGAGTATTGACAAATGCCCTAGAACCTGATTACATACCAGCATTCATGTCTTTACACTTCTGTTTGAGCTCTAGAGGCGTCAGGCGGTACTGGTCCAGCCCATCGTCCCACCTTATTCTCTCTAGCACCTGTAGGTCTCCACCAACAAGCCAGTCCCCGCTTTCCAACACCATCTAGAAGGAAAATCATCAAAGTTAATAGTAGTAACTATACTGCCTTTTTATTTTATTTGAAGTGTGTGTGTGTGTGTGTGTATGCAAGTGCTCATATGTGTGGAGCCACAGACTTGGGAAACTTCTTCAATAGCCCTTCACATTATTTTGAGACAGTGTTTCTCACTGAACATGTAGCTTGCACACTTGGCTAGCCTGCCTGGCCAGTGGGCCTCTGGGGTCTGCCTGTTTTTACCTCTCTGGCAGTGAAATTACTGCCTGTCTTTAACCTTCCTGGCCACAGACTGCACTTGGATATTTTACATGGGTTCTGAGGGGATTAAGCTCGGCTCCTCATGCTTGCGCAGCCTTCTCCCCAGCCCTCCTGATTTTCTTTTTGACCCATCTTGAGTTACTGTTCTGCAACATTTCAAACAGTATTTATCAAACTTTTAATTTCTTAACTTCCTGTGGTCTTCACTAAAATTGCTATGTAGCAGAGCAGGAGCATAGACAAGACCCAGGTTGAGTTCCAGCAGCAGATTCACACAACACAAAAGTTGAGGACTGTCCCCCAACGTTTTTGTTTGTATGGATTATATCATCAGTTAACATACTAGAAATTAAAGGTGAGAAACTTATTTAAAAGTAGTAATGAGGGCTGGAGAGATGGCTCAGCGGTTAAGAGCACTGACAGTTCTTCCAAAGGTCCTGAGTTCAAATCCCAGCAACCACATGGTGGCTCACAACCATCCGTAATGAGATTGGATGCCCTCTTCTGGTGTGTCTGAAGACAGCTACAGTGTACTCATAAATAAATAAATAAATCTTTAAAAAAAAAAAAAGTAGTAATGAGGCAGGGCAAGATGGCGCTGTCCCTAGTACTGCACTTGTTTTCGAGGCTGCTGGCTCCCACCTGCCTGTCACCTGCCTGTCACCCCATCTGCCTGTCAAGCTGCTTTTCAACACGGTCAAAGTTCTATGTCCGGGAACCAGTCAATGCCAAACCTAACGGGGTGAAAGTTGGGCTGTCCTTGGGCACTTTGATTTTCATGTTGATTTATCTCATCTGACAACACAATGAAGATTTTTTGGAGTATAAAAGAAGAAATGGATTGGAATAAACTTTGGAAATGATATAGTCTACTCCGTGTGATGATCATAGGCATTCCTCTAGATTTACCCAGAGTTGTGGAGATGAGAAAAAAGTTACATGTATGTATCAGTCAACACATACATTTTGTATTGTTAAATTAAAGAAATAAAAATACTTGTGCTCTTCATTTAAAAAAAGTAGTAGCGAATCTGTTTCTTGTTAAAAAATACTCTCCTTCACTCCCCCCTCCACATAGGAGGGATAGCATTGCTCTTACCATTTTCTCCTCTGCTTAAGTATGACTGAACAGAATACAGCTAGGTATTCACAGTTACTGCATTTAATCCGAGCCAGTGACTTCTAGCTGATGTGTAAAAAGAAAACCCAACTGCAGGTACATAGCTAGAAGGAGGAAGAGGATGTGAAGAGCCTTTTTATGTGATTGTGGATAGTCTTTGATACTACAACATATTCTGGCTCCTTCCCCCTCATTCTTGATAGGATCTTACTGTGAAGCCCAGGCTTGTCCCCAACTTAGGATCCTCTCTCTTGAGCTTTCTGAGGGATAATATCATAGGCATTTACTACCACGTTACGCTTTAAGCACATTTCCCTTTTGTGAGTACATGTACTTTTCTGTATCGTGTGTGTGCGTGTAAAATTCAGAGATCAGCATCTGGTATCTTACTTGATTGCTATCACTGTTTTGTAAACTACAAATTACTCTTGCACGTGTGTGTGTGTGTGTGTGTGTGTGTGTGTGTGTGTGTGCCTGCCTTAGAGGGTAACTTGTAGGCACCTGGTCTCTCCTACCGTGTGGGCTCCAGGGATTTAATTCAGGTTGTTAGGCTTTGATGCAAGTGTCTGTATATACCCACTAGGCAATTTTACCATCTCTATCTTATTTTTGAGACAGGCTTTTCATTTAACTTGGAGCTTGCCAATTCAGCTAGACTGGTTGGCCAGCAAGACCCAGAGATGCTCCTTTCTTTACTTCCTTCATGCTGGGAAGGAAGCCAACACAGTGTTGCCGTGTCTGGCTCTAGGATATGGGTACTAAAGATGGACCAAATAGTCACTTTACCAACTGAGCCATCTCCCCAGCCTCTGTAGTGAGAATTTTGGTTTCTTTAACAACTCAGTTATGTTATCTGAATATGTTTTTGTTTTAATCCCAGTTATGGGATACGGGGCTGCTCCCGTTTGTCCACAGCCATTAACTTTGATTGTCTTGTGCTCTAGGAGGGCTGTGATTTTTATTTTTTATTTATTTTTATTTATTTTAATTTTAATTTTTAATTTTTATTTTTTTGCCAGCTGCAGATAGCTTAATTCTGGGGACTCTGGAGAGGAAATAAATACCAGCCGCCTGAGAGGGGTGTGAAGTGCTCTAAAGGAGAAGAAGGCAGTTCCTGCTCCTCCCTGCTGCTCCTGGTTGCCATTGCAATTTGACAAGAAATTGGATATCTTGATGATGAAGATTGGGTTTGCCCCAAAGAACCCCATGCAACAGGAAGTAGCCTAAAGAGGTCTGCCTTTCTCTCCTACCTAGTGTTGGGGGCCTTGAGGGGATTAGGGTAGAGTGAGGGTTGGAAGGGTGGGAGAACGCAATAGAATAATAAAAATAAACACACCACCAAGTCTCCTATGCTAGTTTCATAAAAGTAAATGAACTGTGGAATCTGGAACTTTGTACTTTTTATACTCTGTTCTACTAAAACTCCATTGTTTCTTGAATGAATGTTTTACACAAGATTTTTTTTTTTAATCACAACATGCTGTTTGACAAGCAAGTGTTGGGTCACTGAGCTTGTCAGTCTTCAAAGGTTGACATTATGTTTTAGGATTTTAAATGTACACACACTGTAACTTGATGCCACACTCACAGTGACAGTTTTTGTTTGAAACCCCAAGATTAATCATTGGCAACTAATATTCTTCCTTGTTTTTGTTGGAGTGACTGAGCTTTGTTCATTTGAGAAAAAAACAAAAAAAAAGGGGGGAGGGGGAATCACTTGTTAAATATTTGTAAAGCCACATTCATGACATCAGGGTTTCAATGATGTTTCTCTCTCTCTCTCTCTCTCTCTCTCTCTCTCTCTCTCTCTCTCTCTCTCTCTCT